CCGTCGTCCTTGGGGGTGTCCACCATGTAGATGTTGTAGGTGGATGTGGACGTCTATCGGCCGGTGACGGGAGGGGCCATGGCCTCACCTTTGTCGTCCATGTCATCAGCCTCCTCGGAGGCATAGTCCAGCATGTTGGTTAAATCCTCGACCATGGCTATTAAGTGTGGGTTCTGGGTGGAACGTAAATTCCCTGTGGCCTACCTCAAGGCTCTGTTGAGCGTGAGCTGAGTACAGGCCATCGACAATAGTCATGGTCTGGATCCGGTCCAGCGCTTCGTTTAACAAAGCGGGGCTAATCGGATCAGTGGGAGATATTTCTTCGGAGCTGACCTCTGTTACGATGGTGTGGAGAGGTGTGAGTTCGGGCAGGGCAAGATCCTGGTCTTCGGACGTTGTATCTGTAACGAGTCCGTCTAGGGCTGTCTCCGAGTCTTCGGGCGCCAACCCGTTAGGGCTCAAAGTCGGATCCTCGATGGGAGGAACGGTCCATACGGAATTAATTTCTGATCTTTGGATGTAAGGGCCGCACCCAAGCTCGAAGCTGACAATGCGGTAAGGGCCAATCCGGAGATCAGGTCGGAAAGAGGCGACCAAGTTGAAGCTTCGGGGACCATGGTGGTTCCAGGCGAGGCCGAGAAATCGGTGAAGATCAGATCACCCCGAGCGTCGGTGATGTATTCGAAGTTACCAAATCTGATCTGATGCTCGGGGGCAAAGATGTTGACCGGGTTGAGATGACCGACCGAGTCGGCATGCAAGACAACGCTGCCAAACACGAAAAGTTGTCCTGGGACGAAGATGTCCCCAGTGCTAATGTTGTCTCTGATGATCAGGTGCATCATCGACCCTTTGACGATTCGACATCAGAACTCTCAATAAAAGCACCAATGTCGGTGTCAAAACCGGCGGATCTCGGGTAGGGGGTCCCTTACTATGGACCTTGGATCGATGGGGAACAGTGGACGTGGGACACGATGTTTACCCATGTTCGGGCCCCCTCTAAGAGGTAAAACCATATGTCCTGCTTGATTACATTGCTTGTGTATAAGGGGATTACAGAGTAGATCTACCACGAGATCAGACGAACTAAACCCTAGCTAGTAGGATGGTGATTGTTCTTAGCCTCTACGGGCCAAGCTCCCTGGTTTATATAGACACCAGGGGTATTAGGGTTTACAAATAGTTGGTTACACGAAGAAACATGGGATCTTCCATCTTGACTTGGGGTACACTCTAAGGCACAAAACGTCTTTGCTTCGGATACGGTGCGGCATAGCAGTCCGGCCCATAAGAGATAGGCCGGCCTCCCAAGGACCCCCTAATCCAGGACTCCCTCACCATCCTCCTATGAATTTTACTCCATAAACGGTCTTAAGATGTTTAAAAGCACCATGTTTTGAAACACCCACATCAGATGGCATTCCCAAGATATTTTTCATTCAACTGCTAATTAGGAACATTTAAGATGTGTTTGATAACACCTCTTACCTCCTTTGGACACCTCTTACTAAAAAAGATAGATGACTTCTCCTTGTGTATCTTCTGTGTTGAAGCCTTTGCATAAGTTTCCAAAAGCCGAGACACTTCTTTAGCCCCCTCGCTATTTCATTTTTTGCTTTTTCTTTTCGCTGTTTGCGTTTTTTGTTTGCAAAGTTAGCTTTCAAAAACTCAATGCTTTGCTCCTTTTTTGCCCTCGGATTTTGTTCGCATTCTTGTTTATATTTCAGAGAAGTTGATCTACACCGGACAACGATGCAATCTTAAGGAACAGAAGTGTGTACATTCATGACCGTGAAGGTATGTCATACGACTTCTGTCTTTTGCACTCAAATTACTTAGAATAGTTGTAGTAGTAGTATGTGTGATGTGTTCAAGTGAAAGTAAGTCTTGATAGTTAAATGGAATATTTTGTTCTACTAGCTGAAATAGTTTAGTAGCCTTTGTTCTGTTTAATCTAGATAACCAAGACTTACCATGGGATTATTTTTAAAGAAAGTGGTGTTAACAAAGAATGACCATGCACAAAAGAAAGACTTAGGTGTTGAGAAAACTTGTAGAGAACATGATGTTAGAGACACTCAACACCATAGTGTTAGTTTTAATAGACTCAATAACACTTGTGGATTAAATTGTCTAGAGGAACTTAGTTGAAAGGTGAATGAGATCATGTCAAAAAATTGTGTTGTATTTCTATGGCACTTCAGCTTCTCGTTGGTGCTATGGCTTCCTACTCTATGCACGCATACATGTGTAAATGTGGCTTCGTCACCTTTCTTAATGTTATGCTAAGAACTCTGCTAGTCAATGAATGATCCACCAGAGTTTTGGCTCGGATTTTGGCTATGAGTTTGTTATCATACGTAGTGGCAACGCTGCATCGAATAAAATTTCGTTTTCTCTTGAATGGGTGTGTATGTGGTACATACCGGATATTAATCACAAGAGCTCGAAAGAGGCAACATATTGGCGCATATTGTCCAAAATTAAGCCACTGTGAAACCTTATGCATGATCATTTCTTTGGCATAATCCTATCACGTGACAATAAAAGTTTCAACATGCAATGATTGAACAAAGTGCTTGAGAGCCTTGATGATAAGACACTCGTGGGTGTTTTAGCGAGTTACTCTAGAATCATGTTATCTTTACGTACCTTTCACTCCCTAATTTTTGTTTTCATTGCTCAAGAAAGAAAAGCTCTTCCAAGCATTCACAACAAGCAAGTGTTAACTAGAAGAAATAGAATTGAGATCTACTTAGTTATGTTATCTAGTTGAGCAAGAAATTTGCGTTGATTATCTTTGCTTCATTAACACTTGCATAATAACCATGTCACCGCTATAACTATACTATGTTTTCAGGTCAAGAAGCGGAGGGCTATCTAGGCGTACCTATCATAAGTGAACGAAAACATTCTCATTATTTCGGTTTAAACAACTGAGTTCTTTACGGCTTGGATTTCTCTCTATGTTGCTCGAGGATGATCAAGTTTAAGCTTGGGTTTAAACAACTGAGTGTTATTTTTACGCTCATTCAAACCTTATTTTAAATTGAGACTTTTCTTCAAACCGAGGTATTCGCTCAGATATCGCCACTAATGACTAACGAATGCAAATGTTTCCAAATATCTGATCTTTATTTTGTTTCCATAGAAAAAGGGCTATTTATGGACGAAATCAAACCAATACATGAAAAGAAGTAAAGAGGAGATAGAAGAGATTAAATGGAAGGTGCACAAGATAAGCTAGAGCAAAAAAGGGCGTTCCATACAACCGTGAGCGGTCGTATGGCCTGCTAAGGGCACTCTCTTATCCGCCGCTACAAATACCATGAAGGAGCCAATGCCAGAAACAACACAAATCGTCGCTGAAACCTCCATCTTCGTCATCCACAACAACGCTAGCCACCGTCATTTCCCATCCACATCTCCATAGCCGCCACTGTCTCCACCACCGTAGTACTCAGCCAACTAGCCATACTTTGTAATTGGATATCACATCCGACATCCATTCTAGGACATATTATCAATCAATCAACCTTCATGATGTGTTCTTTAATGATTTCTTCGTATGATCTGATCTTCATGTGTGAGTAGTTCGGTAAGGTCATGGTTGAGGCATAGCCCTACAACCCGATGTATTTGTTGGAGGGATCATGAAGTACTTTGAATTATCATCACATATGTGTAACATAAAATCTCTTCATAGTTGTCTCTTGTCTTGTTCGTGTTCTTCATCCATGTAGGTACCTAGGATCATGGAGAACGAGCCACTGAGAGGCTAAGCGTAGGGAGACTGTAATGTGTTATTCTGAACACCGATAACAAAAAACTTTAGTACGGTAACACAGAACCTATGTTTGAGGATATAAGATGTGTAGTCATTAAACATCCAATGCTTTTGTCTGATTTCTATCTTAATAACCGGGTAACCCCGAGCGTCGGATAGGGCGTTCGGTTGGACAATTGACTCTTGATACAGGGCGCGCGTCGGCCAAGACGTAATTTGGACACATCCCCTACTTCGATACATATCAAGTACATCTCGATGTGTGACTTCTAGGGCACAAATTAAGATCATAATGGTCCCGTCACAAATATATGGCTTTAAGAATAAGTCCTCATGCCCATGCTTATTTTTATTATAAGAGTTTTGAGTGTCAACTTGATTTTGATTCGGTCAAAAACTGAAATTAATTCTCTCGTAGAAGCTTGGTAGAAACTTTGCACCTTCCTCTCGTGGGTTTGATAACTTAGAGTCGGGTTTGATAACTTAGAGTCATCTCTGAGAGAAAAAGACGAGAATCATTTCTGCTCCTTTACTCGATCATTAAAGGGACTAATCACCTCTCCCCCTTTTTTCCTCTTTGTTCATTCTCTCTCACTCTCTACGATGCGCGGGAGGGGTGGGGACAAAGACCTGTCGGTGGTCTCGATATAGACATGCACACGTTCGCCAGAGGGGCCTTTCACAGCGAAACTTTGTTTCTTTGACGTGTCTCCTGAGGCTGCTTTAAGATCCGTGTTTTTCAGGGCATGAACACTGGAAGCATTAGTATACGGTGGTCTCATGCCCTCCATGTAGGCTTGTATGTACGGAGCCATCACTTTCTATAATACCACCCAACGAAAGCAGCAGCAGCATGTGGGTCCCATGTTGCTCTCTCTCTCTCTTACTTTATCCATCCTTTTCTTCCTCATTCACACACGCATCAGCCAGGACACAAACGATGGGCTGCTGCTAAGCCAGACCTTTTTTTTTCTCTAGCTTTTTCCTTAAGCACCCGCCTCTTCCGCAGGCAGCACTAGTACACTGCGAGGCAATCCTTCCTGACACCCGAACCTACGTGGTCTGCGGAGCACCCAGTTGAGGCGACGCGTTGGCCATGCCCTCATCTGATGGCCAAAAGGTAGTTCGCTGCGAAATCTCCCCTAGCAGACGTTCGCCGATTAACGTTTCCCAAAAGAAGAGCAAACCTAGTGCCCGCACGAGCTCGGGAATGGCCAAGCTCTCCGGCCGGTCCGCGAGCCTCCGTGCGGCGCCGGCCTCCTCCCACGAGCGCAGCAGCTCCGCCTGGATCTGGGGAGGCGGTCGTGGGTTGTGTGGTGGCCGATGGGGCGCGGCCACGGGGGGCGCCGCCGGTATGGATCAGACGGAGGCCGTGGGTTTCGCCAGAGATGAGATGAGGTGAGGCCCGTTACGTTCTCCGGCGCCGCCTGTCTCCTCCCCGGAACCAACTCCGACTCCGAAACAGACTCGTGCTCCCGTCTACACAAACGCTCTCGCGCGCCCCGCCCCGCCCCGCCCCGTCCGCGATTTGGTTTCGAGGTGTATGAGCTCTATATATCTAGATTCGCCCCGGCGCCCACAAGACCAGATCGATTGCGCTGATCTTTTCCCTCCGGTTTGTAGGATGTCTAAGCGACGACGCCGGGGCGAGGAGGGTGAGTCCCGCTGCCATGACCGCAGCGGCAACAAGCACAAGAGCCTCTATCTGGTTCTAGACGACTGGCACAGGGGCTTCACCATCCGCAAGCTTGACGCTGGCAGCCCTGACCTAAGCACCCCTCCTGTCGTCCGGCTAGTGTCACCTGCGCGTAACCTTACCTTTCGAACTCGAAGGCTACTTCGACGCCGAGCTAGATGCATGGGTTGGGCTACACCCAGATGGCTACATCTGCTCCTGCCAAGTTCCCTCCCTCAGCAGTAGCAGCAGCACATTGCAGCAGCCCAAATGGAAGATGGCCGAGGAGCACAGGATGTGGAGCCCATGGCATCAGTTGGCTAGAGGGCGAGGGCCTACTCTCACCTACATGGAAACTCCAGGTTTTTCCTTGTTGATTGTGTGGCTGCCGATGGTTTAGGTTCCAGGATGCTTTTGGTGACTCTTGTGGCTGCGTGCTCAACATGACCACGTTTCGTCTCAGCTACGATCGTGAGGGAAATCTGCAAATCAAAGACAGGAAAACTACCTCCTGTTGCGTGTCTAAGCAACTCTCGTCCTTCTCCCCAGTGGCCTTCTGGATGTAGCTACAGCCAAGGAAATTGCTCGTGCTGTTTTTTATTTATTTAGCTGTATGTCATGCATACTAGCTATGTTCATCGTCCTATCTGTAAATTACTCCCTCCATTTTTCTATATACAAGGCCACTTTGTAAATTGGGTCCAACTTTGACCATCGATTTGAGCAACAAAATATACAGAAAGCATTGGCATATAACATATATTTTGTTGCTCAAATTGATGATCAAAGTTAAGCCCAAATTATGAAATGGCCTTGTATAGAAAAACAGAGGGGGTATGATTTGAATCAATAAAAAGCAAACCGGTTATTGTGTGGAACCTTTCGGGGATCTCTTAATTGTTAATTCTGCAAATGCAGAAACCGATCGATGGATGACTATAACTGAGTTTCAGCAACTTATGTTAATTTTTGTAATGATAAATATAGATGTGAGTTGGAATATATTCTCTTGATGAATATAGCGGAGTGACATATTCTCATTGTATCTGTCACCACAGAAAAGAAATAATATCTCTGCAGTTCTCTCTTGTTTTTTTTTTTGGAAAAGCCCCCTCAGGGGGCTCTCGTCCCACTAACTTCAAGTAAAGTTAAACAAAGCGTTGTGCGAGTTTTTCATAATTCGTAAATATTTACTAATTTATTATATGGACTGGACAATGTTAATTCATGGTCGCTTCCTTTCCTTGACATGGTAATACAATACATTCTCCTGTCCATAAGTTCAAGAACAGGTTAAATTTGGAACATCTTTAGGATTCAGATTTGTGTTTCATAAAAGAACACAATCAGGTTTTGGGATCGCTTTATGGAGAAGCTAGCCATTGATCGGATATGTAAACTCATTAGGATACTTGCGTGAAGAATGCCAATAAAATAATATTTTACATGACATGGCTAATACCGCGTCTACTTATTTACAATTTACATTCTGTTAAAATGCAAAGAATTTATTTCTTGGCAACTAAATCATCCCCTGTTTAGTTGCTTTTATGCAGAGCCATTACTGATTTACAATCAGTTGCCAAAGAAAGCCTTCACTAATTGTTATGCTGGTGCAAAACATGATTTAGCAGCTACGTTTTACACTACACATTTTGTGATAGTTACTTGTTCTGCTGTTGTTCCATGTTCGTTAATTGTGCATCACATGTTCACCAAAGTGGTTAGGCTATTAGATAGATGGGTCATTTTATTGCCAGGGTGTTTTCCAGCGTGCTCACAAATGTTGATCAATAGTACAGTGGTTCGGAAGTTGCCCTCAACCTTTAACAATTTTTTATATGTGTTTTTTTTTTGATATATTCAGTATGCTTGGTTTATTTATAGGATGCATTGTGAGCTAGATATATTCAGTGAAAGGTTCTGCAGTAATTAAGATAGATACCAATACGGGTTGCCTTTATTGCATTGCTACATTCTATTCTAGGATGTGAATTTGTTGGCCAATCATGTAAAAAAAAAGTAATTTGCAAATGCTGATGCCTCAAACACCTGACATTTTTCCATGTTTGGGCCTTTTTAATTGCAAATACCTAGTTTATTTATAGGGATTTTTTGATAAATTAGAGAGTAACATAAATTTAGAAGTAGATACCTAAAGGTAGAAAATAAAATCACAGCCTATACAAACACTATACTGTATTTTGTCTATACAAAATCCATCTTGTGACATTATTCAGGAAAATGCCATGAGAAAATTTTAGAAGATGATAAAAAAAGTGCACTTCAGAGGCACTCATGTTGCATCTCTGTAACTGTGTGGAAGTACAGCAATATGTTGCATCTCTGTAAAAGATTTGTCTGCCTTCGTTGTTGATAAGCAGGAGGATATGAAATTGAAAAGCATGAATCACTTATTACTTAGTTTGGAAACATGTATTTGGGAGCAATTTTATTTCTAGGCAAATACACATTGTCTGACACACAAGTCGTGTCATTATATAAACCAAACCTCAAAGCTGATCATTTTTCTCCGATGCTACTACATTGTAAGAAAATCATGAATTATACCTGGCAATCTAGATCATCAATGGCTTATGAACACAAGTAGAATGCACAATGTGAACAGAAACCAAACATGGTTACGGAAATTATTTTAGGTTCAATTTGCTTTTAACTTGAGAATCTAGCAAATTGAAATATGGGAAGTTGGTTCTGAAAATAGCACTGGCTCTGTACTGATTCCAGGTCATGGTTACTAATCACAAGAGTTGACATGTACATATATTTTGTTGCAGTATGTGCTATTAAAGTTCATGCTCTGTATCATGGCATGTTCTCTTTTTGGTTTCATTGGTCATTATGTGTTTCTAAAGATCCTTTGAAGATCAATACCAGTCTTCGTTTAGTTACTACAAAAACATTCTGGCCAAATAAAAATTGACCAAGAGATGATAACAAGGAGATAGAAGTTGTCAGTTTTGTGATAATTTGAGTCTTTTGATGATTTATTCTTCCATGTCCAGTAGCAAAACATTTTCTGTTAGATGCTGGGAGTTCAGACTTCTCATGTGACTTGTGAACTGATCCTCTTCTGCTTGCAATCTTTGATGCTTTTGGTGGTAAATTAAAAGGTGGATCGAGAAAGATGTTTTGGCTGGATGTCCACAAATAGGAGTTTAACCTGGCTGTGAATGTTGCCACCCCGATCTTTCTTTTTGCAGTATTAAGTCTGCATCGAACAAAGCAAGTGTCCTGGCACTGTCCAGCTATTATTCAGACCACAGTTTCAGGTATACTCACACACTTAGATGCGGCATCAGATATATATGCATTTTACATTCAGCTACTTCACGGAATAATTTTGTATTGAAACTGTGACACTTCTTTTTTGCAGTCTTTATTCTGCATCGTACAGAGCAAGTGTTATGCATGTTTCTTTCCTCCTAGAGAACTCTGTGCATGCACACATCCCAGTGAGGGCCTCAATGAGGGACAGGCTAGGCTGGAGATGCCGGTGATGAGGTTATCCGACATTGGCGGCTTGCTCAAGCACTCATCAAGTCTCTGAGATTTTCTGTATCCTCTATGAATGCTCCGCTTGTTTAGTTTGTGGACTAAAATGCTTGAAAGATTGTTTTTGGTGAAACAACCAATAGTTATAAGGGATAGAAAATAGTATGCTGCAACAACAAATCGTTGTCACTTAAGCACCAGAATACTGATTTAGGTGACCAGCAGGCAAATTAAGTAAGATTTATCAGTAGAACAGAAAAATCAATCATAGTACTCCATCCTTGCAAGTGAAATGCCAGTGTTGGTTATCTGAACACTCTGGAGAATTGCTTGCAGAAGTAGTTTAGTGCTTAGTAAGTTATTAAGAGTACAAATTTCTAGGCTTGAATAGTGGTCCATCTCCTAATCAGATGTTCTTTTTGCTATTTGTAGCTGATGAAAAAGTAACAACTTACCATAAATGATAGGAGTGCTGTTCATATGTCAGAGAGTCAGACCAGTGATGAAAAATAGTCAGAATTCTCTATGGCAAAATACATGCACAACTTGACAATGAAAGATCACTTGTATTGCTCAAAAAGTGAAGGTACGCTTTGATGTTCTTGCAAGTTCCATCCTCTTATAGTTACATATAAAGTTTTGTTCACTCACAAGCAACAGAAAAGCATGATTCATGAAAATTCCTATAGGATAACAAGACTTGCTACTGAAGAATGATTTGACGGTAAGTAAGTGAAGACCATAAACTCAAGTAATTGAAACTGGAAACACCTTATGGGCGCAAATCCACGTTCAAATTTAGGAGCTGAAATAGCATGTATTGGTTTAGATACCCCAAAAATTGTATTAAGAAACTCAGTGAAGAAATATATTCTGCGGGGAAGAGAAAGAACATTATACGCACTGACTAGTCTAGTGTGTGCATACCTTGCTACAGACCACACTGGATTCCACGATTCTGGATGAACTGCAATAGCAAAGTCATATGGGAAGTCAAACCCCGATTGAATACAAAGGAAATTATAGGATGTGATTACAGCATGATGCCTACAGTTACTCACTGATAAGCATATCCTTTTGTGAGGGTAAAACCTGCCACTAGGGGTTGTCATGCTGAACAACAAAGACAAACTATAACTAAAAAAAATCGAAGTTGCAATGAATTCATTACTTTCAGATCTGCGTAGTTCTTAATTTAACATTTCTTCAAATAACTTGCTTCATATTTAATACTACTCAATGGCCTATAGCTCTTTGTAATTTGGTTATCCATCAGGCTGGGCAAAGAATATTTTCCTTGGGTACACAGGCGAAATTTACGTAGAAGCTTTATGAATCAGTGGCAGCTAGCCTTGAGGGCTAAACCCTAAAAGCTAGGATCCTTCACAGGATATGTTCTATTGTTCAGGTTTAGCTGCATGCCGTCACCGCAAGATTCTTAACACACATATTTTATGTAGCTTCCTGATACACATCATTGAGAAACTGAACCGTAAGATTTTGCATGCTTTTTATATGTGCTGGTTCATGTTTTTTGTTTATCTGGTATTGAAATCCATATCACCAGTAATTCGTTGATGAAGTAGTAAATATTTTTGAAATGAGATATGTCGTTTGGTTATCATTCATCCAAGTCTGATGTTATCAAGTGCTCATGGCTAGCCAGTCTACTTTAGAAGTATAGAAAGGCTGATAGTTCCTATGTTAGTTCAGCGCAAAAGAGATGTTTA